AAACTAATGAAATTTCTAAATCAAATTGGGCATAACTGCAGTGCTGGTTTCTAGGCTGACCTCTCCTGGCTTCCTCTGCCTGCTGAAGAAGACTGTACAGCCCTTCTCACCCTTCTGCTCTGTCTGCAACACAGGTCCCAGCCTGCTGTTTTTTCAGGCATGCTTCTTGCTTTTCCCTTTTGCTGGGGAAGAACTGGGGCTGCAATGGGGGGCTGAGGTAGAAGCTGGGGTTGGGCTTGGCCTTCTGCACTGGGATCTGCTTGCTGCTGAGCATCTGTGTTAGCTAGATGTTGTTGGTTGCTTTTGGATCTCGATGAGCAGCAGCGCCTTGGTCTCTCCTTATGGGTCTTGGCAGGTCCCTCCTTGTAATATTGACCTTGTCCTGCCTTGGCGTGGAAGAACAGCACGTTCTTTCACTGGCACTTGTGTGCTATGACCAGCAGAGCTGCTCTCTGTGGGCATGGAGGCTGCCTCCTTGGTCAGCTCGTCAGGAATGCGCTGGGACTTTGAAGTGCAGTGTTTGGGGATGGGCTGCGTGGGTTTCTCTGTTCCTTCGGGGTTCGAAGCAGTCACGGCCAGTGCCTCCATACAGAGCCAGTGGTGTGCGGTGCCATTCACCGTAAGGCTTCTTCATTTGCAAACGCTGCTTGGAAGGCCTTTGTGGTAGCTGCCCTAGGTGGATTTGGAGAAGGCAAAATCAATCTGCCAAAATCCAGTGTCCTATGAGCTGAGTTTCTTTTGGCACGTTAAATAGAAGTAGTATTGTTGACAATGGCTTGCCTTATTCCTTATGCTTTTGGGGCAGGGGGAGAGAAATCCCTGCTTGTGGCAGGGACATCTTTCTGCCCCATAATTTTTTTTTTCTTGAGATGAGGATTTTAAATCTCACTCTACTATAACTCCCTTTTGTAATTTAGGGACAAAAAGTTATTTCAACTCATCCAACAGCAGCGTCTGCACTGCCCAAGGCATTTGGGCTGGGTGTGAAGTTTCCTGGAGCTGCCTTGCAGGGTGGACATCTCCCTGGGGAGGGGAAAGGGAGGAAGGCTTCAGCAGAGATTGTGCTGAGCTGACAAAGGATGCAGAGATGCCTTTAGCCAAGGGAGGTTGTACTGCTTCTCCAGAAGCCAAGTTGCATACTACAGTCTTGAGGATAGTCTACAGGAAGCTCATTTAATAACTATTTAACATGAATTATTCTTGTAACAAGGTCAGGAACTGCAATTATCAACAAGCGCATTATCCAGTATTTTTCTGATGAAAGGGAGCGGAGGCTGCAGTACACGCTTGGGGAGCCTGCCAAGGTCAAGAAACCACTCTGCAAGCCTCAGCCAGGGTCCTCGCCATCAGGCCTGGCTCCATGGTGAGCTGGAGATGTTCACCACGAGGTTGGCTGGAAAGGCTCGGTGGTCCTCTCTGCCAGCAGCGCTACCGCAGAAATGAGCGGCATCTTCACTGGCTGAGCCAGACAGCTGTTTTATTGAGACAAGCATTGGTTTTGTGTTACATCCCTGCTTTCAAACCATGGGCTTTCTACCTCTGACTGCCAAAATGTCAGTCTTTTGAGGGGAGTGGGGGAAACGAGCAAAATGCCTCAAGTTTTAAAGATCCAAACAACAAATACAGAATCCCATTCAGCCTGACTCAGGAACTGTTTTTCTTTAAAGCCAGTAGGAAAACATTTAGAAAACACACAAGACAACAAAACAAATGTGCAATTAAAAGCTGTTTCTCACCACTGACAGTCTACTCACCAAAAATGGGATTCTCCAGTTCAAAGCCTGGCTCTTCAGGCTGGGGAGGTGCAAAGTAAAACCAAAGCTGCCCAGAACAGAGTGACTCGTGTTTCCTCTAATGGCTGACTTTGATTTCAGCTCCTGTTTTCCCTGGAAAGCAAGCAGCGTCTTATTTCTTTTGGATATAATAGGTTTAGGGAATGCCAGAACGTTTTTCATTTCAGTTCTCTCTGACTTTAGGCATGTGAGCAGCGCTGTTGTTCTGAGGGAGAGGATCCACCACGTGCAGCTGGGGACTGAGCCCTGTGAGACTGGACAGACTTCAGTGGTGTTTTTGGCTCTCCTGTTGAGTTGCTGCCTGAGGCGGGCTTGTGCATCAGGTAGAAGTCCTGGATTAGAAATAATTAGTGAAGCTGAAGGGAGACCCAGAATATGTGAGCACTAGCGAGATAGGGATCCAAACTGTCACAGGCTTGGCTTCATTTTGTCAGGCTCCTGGTGAGGTGTGGACTTGTGGCAATACTCCTGAACCAGGGTGCGTGATGCTTCACCAGGCTGAAAGCCTGCTTGGTCAAAGATGACCCTACGAAACTATTACACAAGACATGTGTCTTGCATCTTACAGCCATGGTGTTTGAAAGTACTTCTGGGATTTTCTTTATAGTCAAAGTTGCAGTCTCTCCACCAGTTTAGTGTGTCCTGCTTGCATCTCCACAGCTCACTGGAGGGGTAGAAGGAGATAAGGAAATAAGACAAGATCTGTGCCCAAAGGAGCTTCTTTGGTTGAACCTTTCGAAGGAAAGGCTTCTTCGACTTGTCCTTAGCAGGAAAGAGGATGTCAGAGGTGAGGCCTGTGAGCTGGGTGCTCCATCGCCCTTACTGGAGAGCAGGCCCTTGGGGAGGAAGGGGATGGGGGTGTTTGGCAGAGGTAGAAGCTCCCCCCTGAGGCTGATTGACTTAGAAGTATGCTACTTTGTTATTTGTTTATCTTAAAAAATCTGCTTCCTGTGGAAAACATCCTTCTTTAGCCTCCTGAGCTGCCAGAGGAGATTTTGTGTTACTGTGAACCTCTGTGGCTGGTGGAGTGATGAAGTGAGCTGGTTCCCCTTTGGTCTTCTAATACTTGCTGCACAAGGAGTAAAGAGGAGCAAGCGTGGCTTTAGCTGGCTGGGTCTTCCATCACTGCTGGAAGCTTCTTGTTCTGACTCTTCATCATCTGCTGAATGAGATGCTTTGAGTAAACACCAGTGACACCGCGAGAAACCAGAGAAATCTGTGTTGCTGGGGTTTTCCTGTATTGACACTGGGATAAAAACAAAAGCTAAACAAAAAGTCATGTCAGGAATTCCTGAACAGCTTTTTTGCAGCCTGATTAGCCTGAGGATTGTGGATGTTGGGTTGTGCAACAGAAAGCTGTGAGAATAAATATTGTGGCTTTAGGAGCATGTTGCAGAAAGTTTTAAGCAGATGAAGCTTAACTCTTTGTGTTGGTCACCACAATCCTGCCCATTAAAACTGATCCAGGAGTTGCACAGCAACTCTCAACAGCTTTTTGTCCCCAAAGCAGCAGTCTGGGGGGATGCTGCAGTGCATAGCTAGGATTTGGTATGCCCAGCTGGGACCGAAATGGATGGATGCACTTTTGAGATTGAGCATGTGCTAGATTTAGAATTAAATGGTAACTCAGTCTAACTGGAATCGCACATGTAATGCTTGTTTTTGCAGTTTATGGCTATTTTTTTGAATTGCACTATCATGTAGGGCCCCTGGCTGCAGTGGGGATCCTGTTAAAAAGGCATCCTGTAGAGGGATGTAATGAAAAACAATCATTTGAGGTCATGTAGGACTTGATCGTTTTGATTCCTTGTGCACGGCATTTAGAGGCAGAATGGCTTAGGAAAAGCTTCTGGAGAAAGGTCAAAGCAGGCAGATGTGATGCTAAACTCCTTGAAAATGGCACAAGTATGGTCTCTAATTTAAAGACATCTGTGTAATGACATCTCTCTGCGTGCCCTGTTATCTGTTTGGTGTGCTTCTTGAGCAAAACTGTGCTTTTAGAGAATGTATTGAGAGAGAATGACAAAATGAGATATTGGCTCTTGTTATGGAGTGGTCTCACTCCACTGCATGCACAGAGGTGAGGGCATGGCCAGTCTTTCTTACACATTGTAGCTGGTTCTTGAGAAACCATGAAAACGAGTCACGAAGCCATAAGAATCTTAGAAACCTCAGAAAACTAGTGAACAGTTAATAAACTCAAACCAGGAAGCAAAGCTACATTTTTTCCCCCTTTTTTTCCCCCTAGTGAGTGAGACAGCCTTTTCATGTAAAAATGAGAACTTGTCACCTGCAAAATTCATGGCTTTTAAATCTTTATTTTCATGAACCATGGATGCTTTTCATAAGCTGTATGAATATTTCACTTCCTCTCCTTGGCATGCTGCTATGGACACTCTCCCTGTGTGCTCCCTGGTTCACCCACCTGCAGATCCCTCCCCTTTGGATTTACACACAAAATGAGGCACCATTGCTGCTAACAGGAGCTCTCTGATTTTAAAATCTCAAATGCAATATAGCATTCAACACGCTGCACAGGTTTTTAATTACCTCACAGTGATCAGCAGTCCAGAAAATCCCATCAAACCAATTAAAAAATGTGCACCTGGCTGAAGGTGCTACAGGCTCCAGGAGCTGCTTTAGTGCAAAGCCCTGTTTGTGCCCCGTGCTGAGAACTTGCCCCAGCCTGGGCAGCTCCTGCCAAGGGGAGGAGAAGCCTTCAGCTTTTTGCACCGTGCTCCTCTCTTGGGCGAGGAAGAAAGGCAAAGTGCTATGGGTATCAGGTCGTAAGGATGATTGTTTGACTGGGTTTGTTTGTTAAATGTATTTGCATTTCATTTGGCTATATTAAAATCCATTTAAAGCTGATAGTGGAGGTTATGATAAGATTAGGATTAAGATAATGATGGCTAGTGGATGACAAGCTGTATGGAAAAGAGAAACCTGCTGCTTGTCACTGCCACCCTGGCACACTCATCTTTTTGTCACTCTGTTTTCCCCAGGAGACAGTAAGACAGACACCATCCTCAAGCTTCACTGCTCCAATTCACAACTGTGAGCAAAGGGAAAGCAAAGATTTGGTGTGAAACAGAGCCGTGCTCGGGAACATCCACTTGTGTGGGGAGTGGCACCTGGTGTCATGTGTAATTACTCATCCTGCCTGGATAAAATGGATCATCATAAAATAAGCACTGAGCTACGTGAACTCGCAGCTGGGGTGAAAGAGCAGGTACAGTTGTCAGCGTTTGTAACATGCATTTCCTTGTCAATTTTAGAGGTACCCTGTTAATGATTTTATCTATTTCAGTATTTTTTTTAACTCAAACATAGTTGATTTGTGTTTATTAAAGCTGCTGTTGTTATTAGCTGCTGTTATTATTATCTACAGTAGTAATATTTCGTCTAAGAGCTCCCCTCTCTGGGCTGAGGCCTTAAACTGTGTGGGCAGTGGCTTTTCTGACTCCTGAATTAGTCCTGCAGTACAGTTTCTCAGGAAATGGTTTGACCCTGGAGCTTTGGTGTTAGTTTCCTATGTGCCCTGTGTGGGTGCCCTGTTTACCTTGTGTGATCAACTGGAATGAACTTGGCACTTAATAAAAATCATTAACTCAAGCAGGCAAAGCGTGCGGAGCTTTTTGGCACTTTGTTTTTCAAGGAACTGAGCTTTGCTTTCTAGGTAGGCAAGGTACAGAAGGAATTGTGCCCAGGAGCATGTGCATGCTCCCACACCACCCACCAGCGTGTCTTAGCCATCTCCTCACTTCATCCCAGTGACAGCAGTCCCAGAAATGTGGTGTGGTTTTTTTTTGTTTGTTATTTTTTTTTTCCTTGCTTTATACTTCTTGCCCAAGAGGAAGCTAGATGGCCCCACAATGCCAATTCCTCCACACGTACCCACAGCACCCACAGAGCTGATGTGTGTCCCCAGATAGTGTCAGAGGATGTCGGCAATGGTGTGTCCTGCTCCGGGTTTGTGAGCTGGTGTACTTGGTGCCAGTGGGAAGCTGTGCACACCCAGCGCCATGCGGGTGTTGTGCAGTGGGACCTGGGTGTCGTGCCTCTGCCAGGTCCTGAGCTGCCAACACCGTGTGCCCCAACAAGCCCTGGATAAAGAAGTGCTGTGATGCAATCAAGCAACATCTCCAGATTGTGTTATGGAAATAAAAAGCAACTGGGGAGTTGGTAACTGAGATGGGGGAGGCTGAGATGGAGTTGTACAGACGTGCCCCAGCTGCTGGGCTGCTTTCTCAGAGCAGGGGCAGGAGCACTGCAGGGTCCTTTGTTCTGGAGACCAAGCTGAGCCAAATCAGAGCATCAGAGGCCAGCTGGTGTTTAGTGCTCCCATGTTTCAAATGCCCCCTTGCAGCCTTTCAACATACTTTCCTCAGTGTATTCACCACTTGTCTACAGAAATGGACCCAGAGCAAAACATTGCTGAATAAAACAGGAAATATCAAGAAATTTATTTGCTGCTTTAAGAAATGCCAGTTCCTCCTCAGGCTTTCTGGTCATGCAACCTACCTGCTCTGTGCCACCTCGGGTGGCTTTTGGGAACATGCTGACTTCTAAAAACACCCCGGGTGGCTGCGGCAGCCAGGGGAGCGTGGCGGTGCCTTTGAGTCCTGCTTGGGAAGTGTTTGGGGACCCCTTGGCTCCCCACTTGCTGGTGGGGTCCCGGGTAGGTTCCCAGCTTGGGGGGCTCGCTCTGATCCTGTTGCTGCCCTTCTGCAAAGCAGGATGGCCATCAAGTGGCTGATGCTGGGACTGGCACAGGAGCTTATCCCAAGCTGTTCCAGGTGTGAAATTTCAGCCCTGCTCTGCAGTCAGAAGCATCAGGCTGGCAAAGGGCGCTTCTTCTCTGATCACTGGGTCAATCTGAAATTAGCTGCTGTCCACACTGTCCCCACTAAGGGTGAGAGTCTTAGGGGGAGAGTGTTTATGTTCGGTGCAGCCTTTAATCAGAGGCTGTACATGGCATCAGGCACAGATGTATTACAGGGACTGTGGTGGGGCTGTGAGGTGGCCAGTGAGCGAAGGGGAGAGCCTGCAGGTGGCTTTGTAGCAGATACCTGCTGCCGAACAGAAGCTTAGTATTAGAGCAATAATTACTTCAAATTAGTGTATGCATCTTCTTCAACCCTCCCCCCACACACACTCTGGGAACGCAGCACAACACCCAAATTACAAGAGCACGAGGAGAAACTTTGCTTGGATCGTTTTGGAGTAGAAGTGGCTTTAATGGACAACTTTTGTACTTTCTTTTGTGTCAATAGGACTACTGACTCTGGCTGTGTTACGATTGGTTTCTCATTTGGGGTTCAGAGGCTGTTGTTTCTTCCTGTTGTTTTTCTTTTCAATAAGTTGTAGGAACTTCTGGATTGCAAAGATTAGAAATAACAATTGCTTAGGCTTTTGTTTCTGTATTTGTGCAGTGTTGAGCATAATGTGATTGTGTGCCAGGCCTGGTGGAACTACTCCTGTGACAGAGAACAGTTAGGAAGTTGTAAAAACTTTTTCTGATGCCTGTAAGCAAGCATCATTCCACTAACATGCTTTTCATACTTCTGGCCCTTTTGAAACAGGAGGAGAGAAATTAATCCCTGCGAGTGTATTTCTAGAAAAGGAACGAAAAGCATCTTGTCTCCTAGCTGGTTTCATCTGTAAGTGCTTTCACATCTTACCCAGCTCTGTTTCGAAGCCTGTCCACAGTACAACCTGCAGAAAACATCGGGAGCTGCCAGAGTGCCTGGGTGGTAGCTACAAAAGCCTGGGATGAGGGAGAGTGATTCCCTGCCCTGGGAATGGGAACGGGAGGCAGAGCAAGCTCATGGAGAGGAGAGGAAGGGGCAAAGGCAGCTCTGCTTTTTCATTCTTCTCTGAATGAGATTTCGAGCAGCTGTTTTGGATTCAGCCTGTCGATGTTCCCACTTTCAAAATTCCCCCAGCACTAAGACGGAAAGTGAATCTGGGGCTGTGTTGTAACTTCATTGTCCTTTTTAAAGTTATGGCCCTGGGGAAGATTGGAGAAGTCTCCCATAGTAAAGACTTTCCATCTTCTCATCTGTGAAGAAATCTGGTGAATTTTGGCCTCCCCCCTCCTTTCTGTGATGCACTGATAACAATTTGAAAGGGAGCGGGTGCTGATCGCTTACAACTCTCTGCATTTGGGTTTCTCATATTTGAGTTGAAGAAAGCGTAAAACCTCAGCTCTGAATTATTTCAGCCTTTCATAGGATAAAGAGACATTGGGCTGCTAGCCAGCCTTCATTGCACACAACTGTAAGGTAAGGAAATGCCTGGTTTTCTTATGAAAGTAGAAAAAACTTGGGGAAGGTCTCATTCCTGACTTATCTAAACACACAGTTCTTGGAGCTTTTGCAGGGAAGACTTTTTCAAGATTTTTTTTTTCAAGAGTTTGGGAAGAGACAGGTACCTTCTGTGGTTCAGTCTCATTATCTGTTTAATATATCTTCCACTAGACAGACCATCAGGGAAATTTTGACTCAATTCAGGGCCAATCATTAAATCACATCCCAAGTTGGAAGGAACCCAGAAGGACCACGGAGTCCGCCTCCTGGCTCCACACAGAACCACCCAAAAACCACACCCTGTGCCTGAGAGTATTGCCCAAATGCTCCTTGACCTGGAGCAGGCTCAGGGCTGTGACCATATATCTCGGGAGCCTGTCCCAGTGCCCGACCACCTCTGGGTGCAGAACCTTTCCCTAACCCCCAGCCTGACCCTCCCCTGTCCCGGCCCCATGCTGTTCCCTTGGGTCCTGGTGCTGTCCCCAGAGAGCAGAGCTCAGCACCTGCCCCTTGTGACGAAACTAGAACGCTAAAACAAATAAAAGGATTAGTGATTTTGTTTTGGCAAGAAAGCGCTGTGTGAAAATACCACAGTAATCCAAATCATACTGCTGCCTTTGCTTTCTGGATTAAAATCTGATCTATTAGTTTGCTATCTACTTGGACCTGTGCAAGTGGGCACCAGCACTATGACGTGTGGAAGCCAGTAGGGAAAGGTGGTTGCTTATTTGTGCGGGGGTTGTTTTCTGTTTTCTTTTTAACCAGGAGAGTTGACAGCCAACCAGGTAAATGCAGTGAGCAGAACTCCTAACCAGGTGCTCTGAAGCCTGTGAGTGGCAGGAGAGGCTCACGCAGCAGCATCCAGCCCCTGGGAGGCAGTGGGTGTGGGGCAGCATCTCAGTGCCACCACCCCAGGATGTGTGACAGTTTCCCCATCTGTATCCTGATGCTTCTGCCCAGACCTTTCCCCTGCTCCTGTGTCTCCTTCCCAAGCTGTCTCTGTTGCTCCAGGCACCCTACCCCTCAGCTCAAGTGCTGTGTGTGTGTGATTTTTGCTTGTTCCCTCCCTGCTGCTTCAGGTCTGTAAGCAATGACAGCAGGTGGAGTGTTTCTGGGGCACCCCAGGTGTTTTTTGGGGGGATACAGTTGGACAGAGCAGCCATGCTCTGGCGCTGCCCATCGCATCCTGCGGTGTGTCTGGGGACCAGGGTACCTGAAGGCTGCAGACAGCTGCAGGCATCCAATGGAGCACTGTGAAAGGGGCGGTGTCTGTTAGTATTAACGATGCCTTTGGGTGCTAATTGTTTCTCAGAAAGGTGGTGCCTCCTCTCAGGGTGATGAATGTTGAGCCAGAGGCTATGGTGTCTGAACCAGGCTGAGCTCCAAAGGCATGAGTTGCATGTGGTTCCAACTGAGACAAATTTGCTAACTCTCAATCTATTTCCTTGCTAGCCCCAGGCACTGTAGACATCCTGATCCTCTGCAGAAGGGTGTGTGGATGAGTAAGGAGATCTGTGTGAGACAGCAGAGTACCCAGGCATGGGGTTCCAGGGGCAGAGCGTGCCCTGCAGCTCTGCCATCGCTCCCGCTGCCACTCGTGTGCTGTCTGTGGTCGTGGGGCTGTGTGGCAGCAGCCTGCATAGAGCTGTGTGTCCAGTTTGCTCCATCTTAGACTGCTTCCGTGAGAAAAGGGACTGGTGTTAGCAACTCCAATTCTTTGTGAATGCTTTTTTTTTTTTTTTTCTTTCCCAAATATACGTCTTAAAAACAAGTCAGCCAGTTCAAGTTTGCCCTCTGGGCTTTTCCAGGCTTACGAGAAAACCACTAGTGAGTAATGCTTAAAATCAAAATACTGCGGGTAAGGACACAGCACTCTCACATGAACACCCGGGTACTTGGATGCAAGGAGAGCTGCAGCAAAATGTTAGGTGAAATGCCTACGTAGATCTCACAATATTCTCTCCAGCCCCACTTTTTCACCATCTATCTACTAAATGTGCTGGTCACTCAGCAGCTTAGCATCCCTTTTCACCATGTAATGAATATATTCATAATAAATCAGGCTTGCAGTGTTATCCCAGCCTCCCTGCATCTGAGATAACTTCTGATAAGTCAGATAACTTCTGAGATAAAGGTTTTATGGTATGTGTTTGTACAGCACTTCCACCGTGGGGCAGGGGTTCAGAGTTTAACACCATTGTGCTGTAGGAGTATGCAGTGTATTTAGAAAAACATTATAGGAAATGCAGATCTGAAATAGAGATGTTACTCTATATATCCTACAGCAGTGGTGGCTGTGACCATGTGTGACTCTGCTGATGACAGTTTATTTGTTCAACTTGGCTTTGCAAGAATTTAGGAAGAAAAAAGTTAACAAAGATCACCGCATTACTTAGCAGACCCAAAGAGTTGTCAACTTCTTGAGAAGTGTGAAGGGACCAAGCTTTGCCTCTGAAAAAGAGCTAAGAGCTAAGACCCTGCGTTGCTGGTGACTTGTGATGTGACTGCATGGTGTCAGTGGTACCTGAGTGCCAAATACATGTTCCTCCTCCTCTAGCAGCTTTGTCCTCCTGCCACCTCCCTGGGTGCAAGGCCATTTGCCTGGGCTTTGAAGCCTCTTATGAAAGCTCAAATGTGGTATAATGATCCTAAACAAACATAACATGTTTTAAAATAATTAGGCAATAACTTGAAGCAGAAAGTTCTTGAAAGACGCAACTTTACTGCACCAGGATGGGTAATTGTGGACTCTAAATGAATGGCATCTGCAGTACTGCTGGCCTCTACCCAAGGAGCTGATGTCCCCTGCAGTGATATGGGGCAGAGAGGGAAGTTGAGAGACCTGTTAGAGACAGAGTTTCAGCAAGGAAAATACTTCAAATATGGATACATCTGAAACTCCTTCTGTTCTGAGCAGCCTGTGGCTTTTCCCTCTGCTGTGCTGAGCACTTCATTTTTGCACAATGAGCTCTTCCCTTCGTTCCTCACTTGTGGGCTCCAGCCGTGCAGTTTCTGCCCTGCTCATCTGCCCCAAGCTCTGTGGCTGTCTCCTCTTTCCTATGGCAAATGTGACGCTCTTAATTCCAATGTCATTACCTCTTCCTGGCTTTCCATAAAAACAAAATCCAGCTTCCTGAAGTGACAGAGAAATGGTGGCTGATTATCGGATTTAGCAAGTCAAGTTCTTCTGTGTACATTTGCAGATACTATCACATCAACAATATTGGTTTACTCTCTCTGCTTTATCACATCAAAACATTGTTTTCCTTTCTGCTTGTATTATTTAAAAGCAAACTGGAAGAACAAGCTGTATTTATGCTGAGGTAATCGCATTAACTTTCCAGCTAAGCAAAGGCAGGTGCAGCACAAAGGCTGCCAGCAGCTCTCCAGTGTGCTCTGTCTGCTTGGAGCAACTCCTGCAGCTGCTCCCTTTACCGCAGGGTTTCTGCAATGTTGCTGGGACCAGTGGTCCTCCAGCTTCTTCAAGAGGCGATGGACGATGAATCTGTTTGAACCTGGCATTGCTCGATCTCTTTTAGCTTTGTTTTCTCCCCCAACCCTACAGCGATGATGGGAACCCATCAGAAAAAAAGAAAGTGATGTTTGTTTTGCAGTGGTTGGGCCTTACAGCTGTTTGTCTTTGGCAAAACTTCATGCCTGTGGCAGTCCTAGGCCTGGTTGGCAGCAAAGGATTTATAAATCCACCAGCTTCAGCAGGGGTTGTCCCCGGGGGAGTGCCGCAGGAGGGCCATGCAGAGGAAGGTCCCCAGCGGTGCGGGGCAGGCAGCCAGGAGCCCAGTGGCTGTGACTTGGAGCTTGCTGAGCCGGGGTCTTTAATTCTTTGCAACAAAACCACTCCAGCTTGTGATCCTCAGCTCTAGATTTGTTCTCGGTGCCTGTAAAGGGATTATTTCATGATCACCTGAAGGCAGTGCATTGTGCTCCTCCGCTCCTCTGCATTCCTTGCTCTGTGGTCTCCAAGTCTTTATGAGTTCATTTACCTTTGCAAGGGGCAGGAAGAGAAAGGCTTTGTGCTATTTGTTTCACAGAATGGTGAGGAAAAAACTGTATTTGTTCCTGAGCAACGTATGAGATTGTGAAGCACAGAGAAGGAAGACCTTTTGCTTTGAAGCTATTTCCTGGATTATTTTTTTTTCCCCACTTAGCCTTTAAAAAAAAAAAAATAATCTTAGATAGTATCTGCAGACAATAATCTGAGCATGGAAGGGATAACTCAACAATCAAACCCACAGGAAAACCGGGTGTGGTCTGACAAAAAAGCACATGTCCTATTTGTGAATGAAGCCTAGGGAAATGGGGACTCTGGGGCTCTGGTTCAGTTCCTGATGGAA